GCTATAGAACAATGACAGAAAAACTGTGGAGCGTCATGATAGACTAAATATTGACTGGACATGGCATTGGATAAAAAATACATTATGGAGAATCCCATTCTCCATAATTCTAAATAGATGGCAAAAGAGAACCTTAAAAAGTCGAAGAGAATTGATTTCTAACGAATCTCTATAAGAATCGATTTCTACCATCTGGACCTTGTAAAATTGAAGAAACGAAAAACATGGCACTCTCACAATTTCCATAATTTCTTTTGCAATGTATCGAGAGGCAGTCTACTCACTTCTAGACAACAATCTTATTTTTATATCGAATTGTCTATCGAGCAAGGCGATTCGTAATGCATCTAAAACCACCTAATTTTGAAGATGAACGACCAGACTGTGACGGTCATCACAATATTCCTGGGCAGTAAGTGAATGTGACAGTGCTAAGACGCGTTCCCCTCTAGTTATTTGCGCCTTACTATTTTGTAGGGGGGGGGAATATTAACGTGCCATTGACAGACAATCATTATTTCTTGACTAACCTCAAGCGAGTAAGAAGATTTCCAATATATTCCATCGTATTTTATACAAGCAAACTTGCCATAGAACTTTAACTATTTGTGAGTCATAAGTTTGCGACTCGTACAATTTATTCATTATATAATATCACTTATGGTCATAGCAAAAGACAGGCAGATACACACACACGCACACACACAAAACACACACACATATATATATATATATATATATATATATATATATATATATATATATATATATATCAATCATTAGGAAAAACTTAAAAGTCCATAGTTACTAATAAATTTATTATTGCGTTTGTGTATATATATATATATATATATATATATATATATATATATATATATATATATATGTGTGTGTGTGTGTGTGTGTGTGTGTGTGTTGTTTTGTTTATATATTTATATATATATGTGTGTGTGTGTATGTGTGCATGTTTGTTCTTGTTTATATATATATATATATATGTGTGTGTGTGTGTGTGTGTGCATGTGTTGTTCTTGTTTATATATATTTATATATATATATGTGTGTGTGTATGTGTGCATGTGTTGTTCTTGTTTATATATATTTATATATATATGTGTGTGTGTGTGTGTGTATGTGTGCATGTGTTGTTCTTGTTTATATATATTTATATATATATATGTGTGTGTGTGTGTGTGTGTTGTTCTTGTTTATATATATATATATATATTGTGTGTGTGTGTGTGTGTATTATATATATATATTTATATATATATATATGTGTGTGTGTGTGTGTGTGTGTGTGTGTGTGCATATATTTATATTGTTGTTGTATATATATTTATATATATTTATATATATATATGTGTGTGTGTGTGCGTGTGTATTTATATATTTTTTTTCATGTTTATAATAATAAATATATTTTTATATTATATATTATATATATGCTTATGATTTACTCTATATCTTAAATTGAGCTCTCACATAGACTGAAAATTCACCTTTGGAATAATCACCACCAATTGAAATTTGTTAATTGACTCACTGTCGGTCACTGGGCGTGTTTCTAAAAAATAAATACGCTAAAAAATTCACTTTCATCCCTACCGTGCGCCGACGGCTTAATGGTTAGAATCTCCGACTGACCCTAGCTAGAGGCAACCGGATGTCTAGCCACACTGATGAGCTGTGAAACAGCGAAACAGTCTCTCTGTGGATAACGTTATATATATATATATATATATATATATATATATATATATATATATATATATATATACGTAAAAATCAAAGTACGTGTATTGTGTCTTAAGTAAAATGTGTTGGATGTGTGGATTGTGCAATGAGTGGCAACCCGGAAATGAGAATTCCAGTCGAATTTGTTATATTCAATTACGCTCAAATACCTTTAGCAAAGGTATGTATACATCTCTTCTCCCCAAGCTCTGGGTTAAATATTAATGTCCTGTATAGCGAAAAGTCATCATTACCTCCCAGCAAATTTTTTATACGATGTTCACTCACCAAAAAACGAAGTGTAGGAATCATTCTTACAACCCATAAAATGTTTCTGATTAGAATACCCCACAAAAGGTTGATAAACCGTAAAATAAATAAATCATTCAACACACTAATATATTTCCTCATAATAGCACTCATTACAGTACTTAATAAATATTTCAAGAGCTTAAATATATGTAGTACGAAATTCGGCTGAAAAGTTTATAGGCTAACAAAGACACGCCTATGAAATGTAACCGACTCAATTATTTTTTTTCAAACTAGTTTAGCTTGTCATTTTAACTGAAAAGAAACAATGCAGTTATTTATAAAAAGATGTAAAATTAATGCCTGCAAGATTCCACAGCCCTATCATCATTCCTTTATAGTGTGTCTATGAACTTTTCTGCCTACCTTTTGTCTATCCAATTATAAAATATCTTTTATACAAATACATTCTAAGTCAGAAAAACTATCAAAATCGTGCAATTTCAGATTATATCATGTCACATCTTAACGTCCTTATGAAATAACAAATTTAAAATTAATTTTACGTTAAAAATTAATTTGTTTATGAAAAGCAATGAAAACGTATATATCTCGGAAGTTTTTAAACAGAAAATTGAATTCTATACCGAAATCCGAAGGCATAATGGAACAGAAAAAAATGCCTTCCAAAAACTGAGCAAAGTATTAAGAAACAGGAAAATTTTGTTAGAAACAAAGAGAAGATTACAGAACTATTATAGAATATCAGCCCCGCTATACGACAATAAAAGCAGAACAATCTCCTCACAGGAGGAAGTAGAGGCAACATAAACGTGGTTCTACATAGAGCTGCTGATAATTCCGTGGACGGAATATGTGAGGAACTAAGAAGCTTTAAAGAAACAACTAGAACGGGTATAATTAAAATCAGAAAAGATGATAATGAGGAAAGCGGGTTTAGAGATTTTGCCACTGACAGGGCATCGTGCAGACAAGGAAGACAGACAAAGCCAGCGAATAGCCTATCAAACGGGATTCTGTAAATGGTTTGTAGAACCGGGATTGAGAGAGATACAAAAACAAAAGAGCTTACTAAGAGCTACAAACGAGAGGAAGTTGTGAAGACTTACGATCGCCACATCTGAAGGGACATGCTGCGTAAAATAAGAATAACTGACGCTACATATGATATGTCTTAATAAATTCAGATTATACCTCTTGATCCTGAAGAGTGGATTTTTATGCGAATCTCGAAGTGGAAAGATAACTATTCACAATTGTATCCATTTATTTACTATAGATAGATAGATAGATAACATGAAAGAGAAAGAATATATATATATATATATATATATATATATATATATATATATATATATATGTGTATTTAGGCAGCAATCCTCCATTTATACATGTTTCATTAAAAATTACAGAAAATGTATTGCGATTAGGCTTTGTATTTAATTTTTCTTGTGTTCGAACAATTGTTTTCTTTTCTGGACGGAGTGTGTAGAAACGGTTCATATGTTCTGAATTTCTGAGCTCTTTCGGTTATAGTTTTAGCTATTATCAAAGATGATTTTATTTTAACTTTTTAAATGGATGTATGGGTTGTATGTATCTAGAGTTATAGGAATGTTTTATTTCCGGGGAATTTTTTGTCCGAGTCTACGGGCTCGGATTGCCCCACATTAAATTCGGTATTGTGCCACATCCTTCCTCGTGGGGAGGCTGGTAAATATTGACTAGCTGGGATCTGTTGAGTAAGACTCAGACTAACGCGAGAAATATCGACCCGTGCTAAGACATGCTCCCCTGTAGTAGCACTCACTTGCTGGATTGACTTGAGACGACCTTGCGCATAACTGTTACCTTTATTCTTATTTTACTGGTTTTGTACAAAAAACTTTTACTTATTTTATCCACCGTGTTTTTCAAGTATATATTCCTGTTAGTACAGAATGTAACACTATCTATCTACGCAACCTTTTAATTTTTATATTTATTTTTCCGACGTGTCTGGACATGCAGTAGAGCTGATTTCATTCACTTTCCTTATTGTTTTATTTTCTTCTTTTATTATTATTATTATTATTAAGTATTCAACACTGTGGTAATATATCTACCAAGAAACGTGAAATGTAAGAAACTGGACGTAGATTTTACCGTGGTTGATCTAGAAATCAAAACACTTTCTTGTCACTTTCGTCTTAAATTGCTTTCTCTTTTAATAAACATGACATTTAAACCTGAAATAATCAGACTCATGATGCTGAACAACTAATGCATTGAGCGTGTTGTTTTGTAAAATATCCCTTCTTTCAAATGCATTTCTTGTGGCAAACATTACAAGTTATAGAGTAAATCCCTCATTCAAGTCTTAACTTATTATTATTATTACTTTCTCTTATTGATTTACTAGTTATACTAAATTATTTGGTAAGCTTAGATAAAATATTTTCTATTGTATTTGTGTTAGGATTGACAACTAACGTATATCGGTTTCATTTTTTAATCTGAAAACGTTTAGGAGTCTTCTATTTCGCTTTGAATCTCTATATATAAAAGGCAGGATGTGTGTGTGTGTGTGTGTGTGTGTGTAACGAATGCACGGCCGCAATTTTCGACGCATTTGCACCAAAGTTTACATGCACATGCTCCGAGTTAGCGGAAAGGCCAAGACCTACGTTGCATTTCCCAATTCTCATCGATAGTGGAAATAATCGATTTTTCATGCTTCTACGGCAGTTTTCATGTAGTTTGCGGTCATTTTCTATTGGCCAGAGTGAGAGCCTATAGCTGGCTGCCACGAATAGGCATGAAGATTCTATTGGCCAGCGTGAGAGCCAACAGCTGACTGACACGAATGTTAACTAGCATGCAAAAAAATTCGATAGCTGCATTCGCCACAAGTGGGAAAAATTTAAATCTGCATGATACTTTACTCCAATTGGCTCATTCGCTTGCTTAAACCCAACGTTGATTCTGATTCCGCAGAACTGGGTTTGGGT